AAAGAGTGTGTGTTTTGCCTGTATCGATAAAAACTGAGAAATAAAAACAGTTTTTGACCACGAAAAAATCGACAGCCATGTCTCTGAGTCGTCCTGCATCGCACCATACATTGACAATACAAAAACATAACGCAGAGTCTTCGGGTGTTGGGAGGCACAACGCGATGTTGCATGGATTTGGGTTACAGAACCGTACTGTAATAATTGTTGTTGAGCATCTTTTAATTGTGATAACAGAGTTAAACGTCATTGTTGGCTCCCAGTGTGCTTCAGTTGTGCGCCGTCATGTGTGATGCGCTGTGTGGTTTGGCTTTATAAAATCGGTTCGAGGTCAGTAAGCACAACCAGAATTAATACATAAGGCGCACCGTCAATTTTTGAGGGAATTAAAGGATTTTAAGTCCGCCTTATATCGAAAAGTACGGTAATCTTAAGAAAAAGATTTATAACTGCTTGCAGCTACATCAGTCACTTCAACTCTTCTCCAGAGGTCACTCGTTGTAGGTTTACATATGCTAAGCTTTAGACGCTATTTTGGAAATTTGTCATAATGTCATGTTTAAGCAAAAGTCATAGTGATGGATAAGACAATAGATGAGCATGTCATCACATAAAGGTTTATAAGTCAGAGTTATTGGAGGAGATGACGTCGACACTGTAACTGATTAGCAAAATGTGCTGATTTGCATGTGTGCCAATAAATCAGGTTAATTACAAAATATGGAAAACAACTGTTGAGCAGCTGTTTGACACTGTATCGACATGTGCAAATAAAAACAAACAATTTCTACTTTCTCTATATCTACTTGCCTGGTAAAATGCAAAGCTAATAGCTATCTTACTGAAGAGTCATATGTGCTAGATACTAGCTACCACAAATACTTTGTTCTCTGGGTACTGGAGAGGACTGGCTGTCAATTCCACAGTATCTGTTCATGCTTTTTTGGATTCTCCTCTAAAAAGAAAGATTACAAAATATAGATATTGTGTATATATCTAAATTGACATCATAAAACAGATGGAGCTAGTAGTAAATTTTGGATTAACACTGTCTTACAACTACTATCTGTTTTTCTTCCCAACCTTCACCATTCAAACTGAAGGCTATTTAATTTTCCATATGCAGATGACTTAGATCTCACCATGGCAGAAATTGGTAATTCGAATGATCTGGTGGCAGCAGGGATACAATCAGAACATCTGGATGTTTGATGTGAGGAGAAAATATTGTACCATGAAGGTCCCTGTGGCCTTGAGTGTAAACAGCTGAATTCCACTGGAAACCACTGAAATCTAACACTATAGTACCCTTACGCATGCGAACAGAACTTTAAAATTAAAACTAAATTTTTGCTATAGTACCCTTACGCATGCAAACAGAAATACAGATTACAACAGAAAGTCTGTCACATGTCAACAGGCAGATGAGTGGCAAAAGCAGGAAAGAAGTTCATTCCTCCCCCTCACTGGGGAGCAGCATCTGCAGGTCATACCAAGAAGCTCAGGAATGACAGATTCTTACAGTAGTGGAGTGGACGTTTGACAGATGAACACTGACGTGTCATGTACGCCAAAAACTTCAGTTGTTTACCGGCATGTTGGTAATATACTGTAACCATACATACAGCCACTGACATCACCATGAGTCATGACATCACTGCTGACTGTAGTATCACACTGACTCAATGCTGTTGTTAATGTGTTTGCCACAAATCGAATTTTGTGATCTGGGCCACATCATTTATCTTCATTCAATACTGCTGTAGTTTTAAGCACCTTTATGTGCAGAGACAACTCATATGTCAGACAGGCTTAGGGCAAAGACTCCACTAATGTAATGACTAATGTAGTGTATATATATATAGCTATATATAATAGAGAGAGATAGATAGAGAGATAGATAGATAGATAGAGTGGGTACGGAAAGTATTCAGACCCCCTTAAATTTTTCACTCTGTCATATTGCAGCCAAATCGTGCTAAAATCATCAGTTCATTTCTTTCTTCCTTAATGTACACACAGCACCCCATATTGACAGAAAAACACAGAATTGTTGACATTTTTGCAGATTTATTAAAAAAGAAAAGCTGAAATATCACATGGTCATAAGTATTCAGACCCTTTGCTGTGACACTCATATTTAACTCAGGTGCTGTCCATTTCTTCTGATCATCCTTGAGATGGTTCTACTCCTTCATTGGAGTCCATCCATCCATCCATCCATCCATCTATCCATCCATCCATCCATCCATCCATCCATCCATCCATCCATCCATCCATCCATCCATCCATCCATCCATCCATCCATCCATCCATCCATCCATCCATCAATCAATCATCAACCCCTTATCCGGGGCCGGGTCGCGGGGGTAACAGTCTGAGCAGGGACACCCAGACTTCCCTCTCCCTCCACAATTCCTCTAGCTCTTCTTGGGGGACCCCAAGGCGTTCCCAGGCCAGCTGAGCGACGTAGTCGCTCCAGCGTGTCCTAGGTCTTCCCCTAGG